TTTGCTTTTTTTCTTGTTTGATGGATGGATGGATGGATGGATACACGCGTGCTCTGGGCGCAGGGGAGGGCGCAGCGTCCCGCCCATGCAAACCAAGTATCTACGACAATTTTGGGAAAACAGAGAGTTACTTACCCGCCCTTTCTTCTTTACCTTCCTTCCTTTGGTTGGTGCGTTGGTTGGTTCGGCCTGGTTGGTTTGTTGGCCGCCTGGTTGATGGGATGGTTTCTTTGGATGGATGGGTGGATGCGCTGGGGTTGGGGGAGGGCGCAACTCAAAGACTTCCAGGTCAGTTCGCGGAGGTGACATCGTTCGTCTCCTACAGTTTCCGGGTACCTGCCTCACCGGCGGTGGGTTGAAAAGAAAGGGTCGGGTCGAGGGTGAAAAGGAAAGGGCGAGGGATGAAAAAAACAAGGTGAAGGGTGAAAGAAACATGCTACAAGGTGAAAATGACAGGGTGCAGGCGCAGGGTGAAACAGGGTTTTAAGGTTTAGAGGGTTGAAAAAAGGGAAGGTGAAAAACAGTGTACAAGGGCGAAGCAAAAAGGGCCACGACAAGTGATGACATGACATCTTCATGTCGTTAGCAAAAATTTGCACCACAGCGCACGATTGGACTGAGTTCGACACTTTCTGAGCACACCCGCATCCACCAACATCATAATTTTAGCTGAGACTTCTCACGAAAACACAGCTTCGAGGCAACAGTCTCAACCGCAGATCGCGCTGTCACAGCGAGCCCCACACCTCCCACCCTGCGATCGTCAATCCCGCTGCTACAGTGAAGGAAGCTCAGGGTCTCACAAAACGCTGCGCCTGCGCAGTAGATCAAAGCCCTTCAAACACTCATCAGCAAAACGCAGCTATTCTGCGACGTTCCACACGTTTCATGCGCGTGGCAAGTGTCATGCTTGTCACACCTTATCGGCGCAAAATCCCTTCGCGCGCTGTCAGCGCCATAGCGACCCGCCCGCGAACGGTCGCAAACGGCTGCGGATGGTTGCGACTACCGACAATGCGTCGCGAACAAGACTCAAACCATCTCAACCCCAGAACCCAAATTGGGCAGTGCGGCCTGTGAACCTCACACGGCTTGTGCAGTGTGGAGCGATCGCATCCATGGTCCCTCGCGACTCAGAACACGGGCAGAGGCGCAGACCGTATCGGCCGCTTCTTGGTGAAGTGTGCTACTTCGGGTTTGGCTTCGGTAGCCAATCCTTCGGGGACACCAATCAGCGATGCTCCCCCCAGAAGCCTGATCCAAAGTCAAAACAAGAGGCTTCACAAAACGAGTTGGCAGGGGCGGCTTCGCGAAGAATTCAAAAAAGGGTTTGAGCAAGGGGCCCTCAGTAGGAGTTTCAATCGCAAACGAAAGACCAGTGGCAGCAAGAACAAACACAAGCTCAATGTCCGAAACCCAACATTGTGACTCCTGAACTTCCCAATCTAGAAAGATCACTAAACTGCGGGCAAAGGCAATGGGAAATGTCGGGCGCATTCCCTCAAGCGCCGACGACCAACCAAGGGGCAGCAAATCTGAAAAAGTGTCATCGCCGCGGCGTCTCACTATACCGCTGGAATTTCAGCATTGGTCAGCTGGGGCCACCGGTCTGTCCTGCTCTTCCGCAACGGCAAGATAGAATTGGCGCAGCTGCTTGAGCTTGTTGCTCAAAGTATCCAGTGGTTCTGCCAAATCTTGAGCCAATCTAAACCCGAGCGGCTATCGTAAATCATTGGTGCGGCCAGCAATGTGATCAGCTTTGTTGTTCCAAAACGAAATCCAGGATTCAGACTCATCTTCAAGGAGTGTGGCCCCAAATGTGAAGGAACATTTGGTGTGGGATAGGTGTTGTCTGTTCTGCAGTTGTCCTTCTGTGGCTGTCCAAAGGCCCAGCAAAAGAGTCCCTTGGACCAAGGCACAAAATATCAGAGTTTTCTGCAGCATTTTTGAAGACAAGCAGCACAGTCTTGTGTTGCTAGAAACTGGCTTGTCAAGCAACAAGAGCCTCAGCCAAGAGCTAGCTCCGGCGCACTGCCGCCCAGTGGCTCTAACGGCAGCTCTCCTTGGTGTGTGTTTAGATGTCGGGACTTGACCTCTTGCAGGGTAGTCTCCAACTGGTCGAGGCGGCCTGCGTCAGTGTCCCTCATTTTGTGTGGCCAACTCGTCGCGAATGGCGCTTCAGTAGAAGCTGAGCCTTGACGTCAGCGCAAAAGCATGCGTGTTGACGGTGTCCTGCTCACAGAAAAAGAGCGAAATGTCCTGAGGTCTGACCAAAGCCTCGAGCAAGGTGTGCGTGGTATTCATTGCAGTGAACGGCTTTGCAGACCCGGTGACGTCTAGCCCTGTCCCATTGCTGTGTGCAATGCGTGCAGAACCAACCGCGCCTCCGCCGGAAGTCCATCGGTCTCTGATGAACTGGTGTGATGCGCGTAGGGCCAAAGATCAGATCCAACGTGCAATCCAAAATAACTGACGGTCAATCCGTCTGTCATCCAGACAAGTGTAAGCCAGATGTTCGACTTCTGATTCATAGAAACCTGCTGTTGAATCCAATCCAGCCCCGATGCGTTCTTCACCCATGGCGTTGAGACGAAGTGGAAAACATGGGAAGGTGTTCGATGTCACTGCATAGAAGATTCCTGGAAACCAGAATCGGGCGTCGAAAGGCACAACTTCCCCATGTGATTCAATGAGTGCTGGTTGCTCCTCAGTCACTAGGTCCAGGAAATAGTAAACAGCAAGTTTCCTCCAGGCTGAATGGCAGTATGTGATCTGCCTTCATGATGAGCTGAATGATCAGTTGGCCTGCTTGGGCTTCAGCGCGACTTCCTTGAGCCACATGTTCAATCTGCAGATTGTCGAAATCGTTGCAGTATGCGGGGCCGGATCACTCCCAACTACTGCGCGAACAGTGAGGCCCCATTCCAAGTTCATGCGTTCTGCGTGGAGTAGTTGTTCAATCGATGCATCTACTGCAATTCGGCAGTCCAAGGATGGCGCAAAAGGGCGCTCAAGTTGAAGGATCGTCCCTGGATGAGCCTCCCCTCATCAATGGAGTGCAGGATGCCCTTCTTGTACTCGCTCAGCAGGACGGCCGGGTCAAGCGGCACTATGTTGGCATTGTATAGAGGCGCAGCTAAAGGTCACATGTCCAAAGACTCAAAAGATCTGAAAAGGGGCACGTGCCAATCTCTCGCCCTTTACTAAAGGTTGCCGTGACTGGCGCATCAATGTGGCTTTCTCAATTTTTGCGGAGCTTTGCGCTCCAACAAGTTGTCGGGTACTTTGGACAGATGATGTACTTACTGTGGTTATTGTGACTATTATTTTTGATGATACAGTATTTGTTTATTTGTTCAGGCGCTCAAAAGGTTTATGCGCAAATACCATTTAGGAGCTCAGATGGGGCTGTGTGTGATATCCAGACATGGCCGCGAGTGCCAGAGGAACGTACTGGACCAGCAAGTTATATATGTTCTTGCCAAGACTTGGTGATATGACCCAGACTCTTTGAACGTGTCTGGCAAAACGTTCTCCCCGCTGCCTGACCCTCTTATTTGGGAGACGTCCTGGGTGCGATGTTTTTTCGAAACAGGGCAGGTGGACACGATGCACCGGTTTTGGATGTCTTTTCCTTCTTCCAGGGGGTCCTTCCAGGGGGGGACTGGGAGGTCTCCCAAATTTTAATGCGCCAATTGTCTTTCTTCGCCGCCGTGAGAACACCGAAGGCATGTACACAGGCGAGGAGTCTTGGGAAACCGACGATGCCGTGGTGGCGACGCGGCGGATCACACGGCAGGGAACATGGCGAGTGGCCGAGTTCGCCTTCGATTGTGCGGTGCGTCTGCCCCTCCACCTGATTCCAGTCTCAACCTCCAGGAATTCTGGTGGGTCAGTGCTGACCCGCTTCAACTCTATGGCATGGATCAATCCACGCTCTCTCGCCATGAAATCTACAGCCCAATCTGCTGAAATCGGCGCAACTAGCTGGAAAGTTTGGGACAAAGGACTAGACCCCCAAAGTTAAATGAGAACCCTTCGCTACACATTCGTGAAAAACAATGAAAAGACGCACGTATATATAGTGGTTGATCAATATTCTTTCATCCTGGAATGGCAATTCTTCGCGGAAAAAAGATGTCTTTCGCGGACCTTTCGCGGCCTCATCGCGAAGCATGGTCCTAGCTAACATGAGCCCGAACATGTCACAGTATCACAAAACCGGGACAGACATCTTGCAGAATGACCCCAGCAGAAGGTTGAACGTTTCCACAGCTACTCAGGGTCACTTGCGGCATCTGCGCGACAGTTGTGCCAAATAGAATCAGGCGCAACTCAACCCAATCCTGGTGCCAGTTACCAACACAGGGTGATGCAGCTTGGGGCCTCAGGCTGGGAACCTGGACTTTAGCGGCGCATTCGCGAAACTTTCGCGGATCTTTCGCAACATGTCACTGGTGCTTTCCCCGGGAATCCGTAACATTTGAAAACATCTGCGCAGCCTAGCAGCTGCAGGTCGTTGCCTCACTGTCAGGGCTGTGCCTACTCAGGTTGCTAGTCTGTGACAGTGGGGACAGGAATCGGAGAATCCTTTACTACTGCCAGGGCTAAGCACGGAAATGTTGAGGCTTGAGTTCGTTAGTCTGTGACAATGGGCACATGCGGGGACACTTCCGCCCACCGGCTCTGCCGGAGGATTGCCTTGTATTTCTATTCTTTGTCAGTCGGTAGAAAGGAACACATATGAAAGTGATGACAATCGAAAAATCTTTCGCGGAAAGAGCAAATACTTTCGCGAACCTCATCGCGAATCTTTCGCGGATGGTTTTAACAACATCTGAAAGGCTGTTTTACATAAAACTTCTTACACCGGGCTTTAAATCAACTCCAATATAAATGAGTGAGACTACATGAACATATACTGACAGGAAATCAACAATTATACAATTAGCTGTTCTGGTGATGTGAAGAACAGAAATCGACACGCTGAAAGCAAGGGCCTTGCCCAGGTTGTTGCGCATGACGTCCGTCACCTCCTTTCAAATCTTTGTCAGACAGTCTGACAGCCAAGGTTCGACTCAAAAAGTGCGTTGCTGTGCTACTGGTGCTGGTAGTATGTGTTACTCGGAGCTTGGGGAATTGTTTGCAGAACTCGGTGGCCCACTACCAGCCATCACTTTCGACGTTGCCAAAAACCCACAGCCATAGGTTAAGACGTACGCATTCCCGGTCAGCCCTAAGCTTCTAACCTCCTGCGCACTGGGCGCTTGGACACGGCTGATTGCAGCGATGAGGAACCCAGATGGGCCTGACCCTTTTAGCAAGCTATAAATCGTATTTCAGATAAGAAACAGCCTAAAAGCTACACCTTTTTCTTGAGCCAAAGTACACGCGGTAAGGTCAATGTATATGTACACCACCAGTGAAAAATACACCCCGCGGCGCAGCCAGTTCACTGGCAGCACCGAAGAGGCAGTAGAGGCAGCGGTCTTTGACCTTAGGACAGGCTGCAACACTATATATGTACAATATACTGGACCTACGAATGCGTGGTTGTAGTGGAGAAAGTTGCTTAGGTTTCCACCTAGCGCACCTGGAGCATTACCACTCCAAACTTGGTGCCAAAGGTGCCACGCGCCGTGAATTAATATTGACAAGTTGAATGCAATAGGCGTGCCAGCCAAAATGGATACGGCAAACCTTCCGGTTCGCAACGCTATTGAAACAATTAGCCAAGAAAGATGATGACGGCAACGTTCCCGTTAGCGTCGCAAACATGAACTCCATATACTCCACATACCAACATAGGAAAGAAAGCATTCCGGCTAACGTTCCCGTTAGCATGGAAGTCACACGATGCACGAATAGCTCCAAGAACCGGACCATTCACGGTCACCATAGTAGACCCGCTCAGGCATAGGCTTGCTCTTGCCCTTGTCCTCGCCCTTGGAATAGTCACTCTTGCCCTGGCCCTTGTATGGCTCGGACTTGCCTTGCGCCTTGTTCGGCTCTGACTTGCCCTTTCCCTTTTGCTGCGGCTCGCCTTTGCCCTTGCCCTTCGCCTTGGCGGCACCCTTCATCGCGATGTCCTGTGCGATTGTCCGCTCGGGCGGGCCGACAACGGCATCTGACGAGCTTCCGGCAGCGCCCTTTCCCTCGGTTGGCTTTTAGACAACCCGCCAATGATGTGGTGCAGGCGCCCAAGGGCGGGGCCTATTGCCTTTGCCCTTCCCTTTGCCCTTGCGGGACTGGGCGCGCTGTTGAGGCCGCTGCTCATGGTACGTCGGGCAGTCATCAATCTTGTAGTGTGGTCCACCGCACACAAAACATCCCGGGGCTGGAGCCTTGCCCTTGCCCTGCTTCGCCCTCGGCCTGATCAACAGGGAAAAATCCAGAGCGTAGATTCTGGCTCGCTGTTGACTTTCGAGAAACGTCACTGACCTTCTTGCGCGCGCCCTCAACCACAGTCAAGCTGTGCCCGTACTCATTTGCAGCATCGGGCCAACCGGGCGAATGACACAAGGTCTGTGAGAATGTTCTCGGCCGAGCCTTCCGGCTGGCAAGTCATTTCGTCCCAGCCAACGACCACCGGTGGAGGCAGGTGCTTCTGCAAAATGGCGAAGTCAACATAGGTAGCGAATTGTGCCAATGTCAGGAATCGACACTTGTGTGCTACGAATGCTTCCTCTGCCAGGTTCACCGGGTCGTCATCGGCCCTCTCAAGCTTCAAAATGAAGCACAGGCGAGTGGCACGGGCCTCCATCTCATCTTGCTCCTCACGACCCTTCTCATCCTTGCCGCCACCCTTGCCTTTCTTCCCCTTCCGCTGCTCTGCAGATCGGCCCAACTTTGGGTTCATGCTGCGGCCAAGCCGCTGCAAGAAGTCCAATGCGTCCGGCGTCAGGTTCGCCCGAGCGCACTTGACCGCGTAGATAGGGTCGGTCTCCAGCCGTTCACGCAAGGTGGCCGCTCCACGCTTTTTGGCCTGCCTGATATGAGCCTTAGCGTTATCACGGAGGACTGACTCCAAAAGCGGACCGTGCGCCTCTGCGCCCTGGCTTCTTCGGCCGATTTGGTTTGCCGAGCCTTTCTAGGGATCCGCTTGATCAAGTCTTCAATGTCGCAGGTGGTGTTCTGCAAGTCTGCCTCGGCTTGTGCTCGCGCGGCTTCAGTTGCAATGCGTGCATCCGGCCACACCGTCAGGTGGGCTTTGCAATAATCACAGCGAATGCCCCCTGCCAATGTTCATTGCCGCATAGAGGCGTCTTGCAAGTCTCAACCGGAATTCGCAGGATGACATTGACTGCCACGTCTTTTGGCTCGAGGTCGTAGTCATCGTACCCTCGTGCCCATGGCTTGTGGTGAGCACTTCGCAACCCCGCAATGTCCGAGTTCTGCACAATGGCGCATGGTGCGAGCATGTATCCCTTCAACTCACAGGATTCAGCTTCTTCACCCGGCTGCGCCTTCCGGCGAGCATCGGTTTGGGCGAGTTCGTCGATCGCACCTTCGAGTTCACGAGGCGGTCGGACGATGTTCACTGCGCCCTTGACAATCTTGGACTTGACGTCGCTCCAGTTGTCGACCAACGTAAAATTCTTCATCATCCCCAGTCGGGAGAGCTGATACGGGATGATTCGGGTCTGCTTCTTGAAATTCCTTGATGGAAGCGTGGTAATCATTCCGGAATTTCGGGTAGGCTGGATTTGCCCAAATGAATGAAGCATCCCGTGCATTGTACGCGAACATCAGGTGCTTATTGCCAATCCAATCCGGAGAGAGGATAGCAGCATCTGTGCGTAAAAGCCTCACGCCTTCCTGAATCATCAACTCAGTGTCGAAGGCAAGGTAAATTGGCTGACCGGCTCGCGTTCCCGCGAGCTTTCGCATGTTCGCAACCCATGGCGGGGTAACCGTAAAATAGTTATGCCCGCGCCCCGTCTTTCGGGGAAAGCCTCCAACGACAAGTCCGTTTTTGATATTAATGTCGCTGCATCCACGAAAATCTGTGGAATGATACACAATCCGAAGAAAGGTAGTGTAGGAGTGCGAGGTCTCTGGGTCCGAGTTGAATCGAGGATGGTAGCCCCTGTCCAACTTGTCGACGTCAAATTCGTCGAGAGAGTAAATCTCTTAATTGGCAAATCGCTCGATTGCCGATTCTCTCGATGACCCAGTCTTTGCAGCAGTCGGCTCCCACGGCATACCTTTCCAGGTAGCTCCTTCCACTCCGCCAGGGAGGCAAACTCGAAGTTTGAACCTCCTGTCGTCGTTGTTGCGGATGCAAAGCAACACTTCAAACTCTTGCAGATTGGCCACTTCGTCCTTGAGGTGGCGGATGAGGGGCTTCCAGTCCTTTGAGCCGTCATCATTGAACTGCGGCGATGGCTTCCGGCGCTGCTCCTGAACACCTCTCAAGTGGTTGGACAGGCAGTGCGAGATCTCCACGAGCCTCTCGCTCATCGGCTTGACCGGAACCTTGAGCATGTGTTCAGGGCCGATGTAGGCCTGAGCGCCGGGCTGCAGCTGCAGTGGTACGTCACGTTCATGCGAATCATCGTACCTGACGATCTTCTGGACCTTTCGCCTCGGGGCAGGCTCAGATGGCTTGGGCATCTTTTTGGTAGCTATACCATTGGCGGCAGCGCCGACAGCAGATGATTCCGGCGAGCCTTCCGGCTTGCGTTTCTCGCGCGTGGCGGGCGTCTCCTCATCGTCATCTTCGATGACCTCGACCCCATCGTCGTCGCCTCCGTAGTCGGGCATCTCAACATCAGCATCGTCGGCCTTCTTGCCCTCTCCGGCCTTGTCGTCCGGGTCGTCATGCATCGAGCGACATGCCGAGAAACTCCTCGATCTCGGCGGACTTCACAGTAGTCAGATCATCAATGTCGCCCTCCTCCGCCTTCTCCCGTTCTGTCAAAAATGCGGGCTCGACCTGGTCGATGTTGACGCCCGGAGCGCTGACCTTGGTCCACACGCCGAAATCGATCATTTCCGGTTCAGCGACCGAGTTCCACTGCGTGATCGTCCATGTGTCATCAGCGCCATCGGCAATGATGGCCTCGTCCTTGTCAACCTTCTTGATCACATTGATGCGCTCTTCTTCTTCATCCGATTCATCGCAGTCTTCAGGTGGATGAAGCGCAGTTTGCTCGTCTTCAGAAAGGCGATCTCCGACCAGATCATCGGCTGCCATGTCGGCCGCCTCCTCCAGTGCTTCTTATGCACCCATAGTGCAATTTCAGCATCACACCCATCGAAGACATCTGTTTGTTCTTGGGTGGTGGGAGGATGTTCGGCTGGCCTTCCGGCTAGCATGCCATTGAGCTTATGGCGTACAATGAGGTGCCCCTCAAGTTAAGCTAGGTTATAAGTTTCCTAACATATGTTATAAGCTAGTGTAACCTATGTTATAACATGACTTAATTTGGCTAACTTATGATAGCTCCATAGTGAGTTATAACTAACATCTAAATATTTATAGAACTTGTAACTAAGTTAGCCTGGCACGCTCCCAGAACTTACAAACAACTTACAGAACTTACAAAATTTTCAATGGTTTTTGCTGTAAACTGTCAAAGTCGAGTTTTTTTGTTTTTGTTCAATTGTTTTTCAATGTTTAATCAAAACAAGTAAAGTCAACTAGTAAACTGTGTTGTTTGACAGTTTTGTGATCCAAACACTGTATCAGCGGACAATGCGCATGGGTATATACACATCGCTGCATGCCCGTTTTGCAGAGATATATACTGAGTAGATGTAACTGTTTCACATGTCCTTTCGCTTTCAGTTTTAGCATTGTGGCCCCTCAATGCAAGTTGTGTAGAGCTTCCTGATTACCATGTTCCTTGGTGCTGCTAGCTAGCTGATTCTCAGTTGTGGCGGTTGCCCGCCGTAGGTGAATGGTTTGTTACATGTTTCTTGTCTTTGTTTGCTTATGCTCAGTATTGGCGGTTGTCCGCTGATATTGTGATGAGTTCTTCGCCGTTTCCTTTGATTTAGGTTTGCGCGGTTCGTTTGCGCCCGTCGTTTG